AAAAAAAAGGCTTTTCAGGAAAGTTTTGGATATCTTGGTTCAATTGTTCATAAACAAAATAAAGGAGGTAGTCACCTGAAATTCTCAAAGATAAGAAATTAGGAATGTTAATTCTATTAGACTGTCCAAAAGAGACTTCAGAAATAGAATAAACCAATTTTTGTGGAAAGATTCACCAAAATGTCTGAAAACAATTCTTTGTTATTATTAAAAAGGTAAATCATAAAGTTGCTTACCCAAAGGGGAAAAAAATTTCATTAAGTCAGACATAGTAGCACATGTTTGTGAACCCAGTTCTTAGAAGGCTGAGGGAATTGTGAGTTCTCAGTCACCCTGGGCTACATAGTAAGATTAAGGCTCAAGAAAAGAGAGCAGAGTGGAGAGAGGAAGGAGGAAGGAGGAAGGAGAGGTTACTTAAACATTCTTAATAGACCAACCTTTCAGAACCAATGGCCATCATAAGACCATTCAATGAATGTTCTTGTTGGATGGAGGGTTCAACTGACAGCGCTCGGCCCTCTGAGGAAGAAGCATGGGCAAGTGGCCTCACCATCTCCATGGTAACTCTGCAGGGCAGGGACTGATTTCAGCTCCACTTTACAGTAAGACTAATAAGCCAATGGTGTAACATCATATAAACTGGGTCGGTCTCTTTTATGGAGATGATGTTAAGCAGGGCCGCTTGAAAAGCCTTTGAGCTTTCTGCAGATCTCACCTTCATGACAGCGGAATGGAAGGCCTAACTGGATCACGGTCTCTAGAGCGCCTGGAGAGCCGTCGGCATAGACTTGCAGGTGTAGTTGCTGTGCGTCCACTCAGGACTCTAGCCCAGACTTCCTGAAATGAGCTTGGCTGATGAAGCTGGAAAGTTTCCACACAATCTTTCTGTACAGTAAAGCCTGAAACCACTGGACAGGACAGTTTCTGAGGTCTAGAGTCTTCTAACTCCTCAGTTGACATTATGCTGGGCATGGTGGCACACAACTGTAATCCCAGCACTGGGGAGGCAAAGGCAGGCAGATCTCTGTGAGTTTGAGGCCAGCCTGGTATATAAAGTAAGTCCAGCACAGCCAAGGCTACACAGAGAAAGACTGTCTCGAAAAAACTAAAAAGGGGGCTGAAGAGATGGCTCAGTCGTTAACAGCATTGGCTGTTCTTCCAGAGGACCTGGGTTCAATTCCCAGCAACCACATGGCAGCTCACAACTCTCTGTAACTCCAATTCCAGAGGACCTGACACCCTCACACCAATACACATAAAATAAAATTAAAATAAGAAAGAAGAAGAAAGAAAAAGAAAAAAAGCTATACCTTCAGAGGCAGAAGGTGTAACCAACCTCTTTTTTACACAGGGACCGGCTTACCAAAAATGATGTAGTTGGGACAACGTATCTGTACCTTTCTAAAATTGCCTCCTCTGGGGGAGAAGTAGAAGGTAAGTCACTTGAGGAGCAGAAGCCAGGATTCAAAGCTTCTGGCAAAGAACAGACCCAGGTGCCCCAGCGGTTCAGTGGTTGAGGAGTAGTACTTAGCCAGAAAGTCTGAGCTGTGGCAGTCACCTAGAAACATGCTCGATGCCTTTAAAAGGCAAATGTACCGGGGCCTGACAGCGCAGAACTGTGAACTGGTGGCTGCAGAGGAGGCCAAGACAGGAGAATACCACGTTTGGGACCTGTCTGGACTACACAGGCAGTCTTCCTCCAGCCCCGGCAACTTCGTAAGACCCTGTCTCAAAACAGGAATGAGAGACGGGGCTGGCAATGTGGCCAGTCATTGGCGCGTGTACCCGAGAGTACAAAAAGCTGGGCTCAATTCCTAGGACAACTGCCTACATGCCCATCCCCCCATGCATACACATGACCGAAGGTATGCAAGCACGTATGCACCTAAAGACAATTGGGCCACGCCAGTGATGTTTTGGTGATAAACAGCAAAATAATTAGTGATGGAAGCAAACAACAAGTTAATACGTTTTTAGTTTTCTTGCTCCTATCCAAAACCTTTTTGCCATGTGCTGTTTTAGAACTGTCTTGCTTATCAGTACAGAGTGCCCACACATAGTTGTACCTGTTATTACGGTTTGATGTACGTCCAGGGGCTGAAGTAAAGAAAAGGAAAGCAGTTAAAAGAGAAAAAATTGATATAAGCAGATTAATACTTGCAGCTTAGGTTTTGCAAGGGTCAGGACACTAAGCATACTGAGTAAGGTGAAGTAATTTGGAATAAAATTTTCTCTGGAGACACTTTTATCCTCATTTTATGTGTTTTAAGAGCATCAGTGTTTGAAGAGCACCAACATGGCTGTAGAGAGATGGCTCAGTGGTTAAGAACATGGCCTGGGTTTGGTTTTCAACACCCTTAAGGTGGCTCACAACCATTCATAACTCCAGTTTCAGGGCTCTGATGCCCTTTTCAGGTCTCTGAAGGCACATATGTACATACATGCAGGCAAAACACTCATGGCCACAAAATAGTAAATAAATAGTATTAGTCCTAACTAACGTCAAGGGAAGATCCTAGAGACAGGATGATAAAAGAAGACACTAGTTTCATATCTTGAGGTGTTAAAAAGAAAGACAATTCTAAATCTCAGGGAAAACAGGTAGGCAGAAATGCGTGGTTCAAATAGAAAGCCATGTGTGGCAGTATTTTAAGCGAACAGCTGAAAGTCAGGAAGAGATTTCATCTGCGCATTCCCTGCTGAAGGGGCCGTAACACTGGAGCTTCAGCAAAGGAAGCGGAATCATTGCCCCTTTCTCTGCCGAAAGCAAGTATTAAGCTACATCCCCAGCTTTGAACAGAACATAAATGCCATCTCCCTTCTGAAGTGTAAAACACGAGCATAGAGAACAAAGACGAAGGGTGGATAGAAGAAGGGTAGGCGTGCTCGGAGCCTCTTTTTGTTGAGTGGGCAATACAGATGCGCTCACTAGAGGTTAAAGAAGAAGACCAGGAGAGGTTAAAAAGGGCCCCGTCTGTACAGAGAATGAGTAAAAGCAACCCAATCCACGTATTAAGTAGGGACTTGGTAAATAATATCTAAAGGTAGTGGTTCAAGAAATACTGGCAAAAATATTTTTACTCAGTGATGGCCTCAGAACTATACACAGAAATCGTTACAGGCAGTTTCAGCCTTCTTCTCCGAGCATTTCTGCCATTACAGGTCCTGCAGGTAGCCTGGTTCAGGGTCCCAAAACAAGGAGCTGACCCCTCCTCTCCCTGACCCACAAAGGAACAAACCATGCTTCGCGTCACATAATCCAGGCTTAACTACAGGTGTTTGCTTATATTGCCTCAAACCAAATTAACTTGCATTTTCTGGCCACAGCCCCAGCTAAGGATGTGTAAATGTTTTATTAAAAGCATGCTGTGTTGGTAACTTCACCTGCTTCCTGTGGCTGTGGGAAGCCAGCTCTTCCCAAACGCTGGGCTCTTTGAAGCAGGCAAGTTTGGGTTATTTACATGTGCCGGGTGACACTTAACTGGTAAGACTAGCAGGAACTAGAAAAGGCTCGTGGGATTTGGGTGTGAATTGTGGATTCCCTGCTGTGGCTAAGCTGCTGATCCAGCACAGAATATGATTAACTTTGCAGTGTTTGTTTTATACTGTCCATGTTTCTCTTGTTTTTAACCAGTCCTATTTTTACTACGTAGATTTCTCCTCTTCGGGAACTGGGGCTGCGTCATACACAGGTTTACGCTTTGTAATTTTGCCATCTTCTGCAGTTTCCTATCCTCCCTCTGTCACCTTACTTGGGCTGTATTAACTGATTTCCTTAGCAACCCTACTTTGACGTTTCACTGCCTCAGATACCGTTTTGCTGGAGTTAGAAATGTTTCACGAGTGGTGTGTGTTTGTCCTGCATGGCTGAGTTTAAGACAAGTTTGATAGCCATCCCCTGTGCCCTGCATTACATTCTCATACAGATGCACACCGCCCTTCTCTGCGAATAATTTGCTTTACTGCAAATAATGCCTTTGTTGTCGTTCGTGTTCGATGGGGATAGATGCAGAGCACTATTAAATCTATAGTTTCAATAATGAGTAAAAGTACCTCTGCCCCACTTTCAATGTGAATCTCTAGGTTGGAAGATATGAGTACTTTCCCTTCTCATGCTTCCCCAATACAAGGTATCATAACATGTATTTTGGTTTGTGCAGTACCTGCCATTTTTTGCAAGTTTGCTCAATGCTGACCATTACAGTTCTCCTAAGGCGATGTTATTGTTCCTCTAGATGAGGGCTCTGAGTTGGAGAAACGCTGGCATCAGCAACCTTCTTTCCATGAACAATTCTTTCCCTGAGACTCTGGGCTTCAACCCTTTATGCCTGCCCAACATCCTGATCATACACCACTGAATGTTAAAGACACAAAATCAAACTAGTGAACCAAATTTTGACCTCCATATATCACTTGAGAATGCTCCTAATTGTGCTTTTTGGAAAAAGATCTATTCCTTTTTCATTTGGGACCACTCAGCCCAACGAAGAAAGCTCTTGTATTCCCTGTGGTCACCCATGATTTCCTCTTGATTTGGTGGCTTCCTTGCCAAGTAGGGAAATATTTTTCCTGCCCTCAGTACCCTTCATGGAGGGGTAATCTTGCTGAGTCCAAATAGCTGAAACAGAGTTTATCAGATGATCATCCGGGAAAGAAAGTAATGAATGACAATCTACTTAGCACTTCTGAAGAGCACACATTCTTACAAGCTTAAGGAACTCATTGATACATTTATTTTTATTTATTTATTTTTTTTTTACTGTACTTTTAACAGTGCCTACCATACTATTTGAAGTTAAATAACATCTGCTCCAGGTTCTCCCTCAGTCTCTACCTGCTGCAGGGCATGGAGGGCATACACTGCCTCTACCCTAAACTTTCCAGCCCAGGGGCAAGGGCCTCCCTTCCCCTTCACTATATAATCCAGACATTTTTGTTCTCATCACTCTCTTCTCTCATTCACTCTTCCTCATTTCTGTGTTTTCTCTCTCTCCTCCTCCCGTCTTTCTCTTTCTCTCTCTCCTCTCACAGTCTCTCCCTTCTTTCTGCATTTCCTCCCTCCTTCTCTTCTCTCTCGTCTCTCTCTGTGTATACCTCTCTCTCTTTCCAATTTAATGTCAGTTATAAACTTGCAAAAAATATGAAGAGCAACTTAAAAACCTTATTGTTTCGTTTAAATAGTATTCCTTTTGTAAAGATAAGCTTGTCTCAATTATTCCAATTTTTTTTAATGTCTTTAAGCAATAGTAAAATGGGAATATGGCAGGTCCCTAATTTTCACTAATGCAACTAATTTACAAACTAGACGAAAAATTTCATCTCACCTAACTGACTAATAACTAATATTTATTTCCATAGTTTGAATGTTAAAGACCTGAAATGTAATAATGATGTTTATGTCTCAGCAAATACAGGAGAGACAGAGTTGGGCTTTGTCCCAACATTCGGACCTTGTTATTTGAACCTTTACGGAAGCCCCAGAGAGTACACAGGATTCCCAGATCCCTATGATGAACTGAATACAGGAAAGGTTAGTTTCTCAATTAAAGCTGTGATTGATGGAGATTAGTTAATGGGTTCCTTCTTATAATAGTAATAAGTATCTCATGTAGGGGCACATTCATTCCCCAGCCCTAACACAGACCTGCCGTTCGGCTGATAAAGTGTTAAAGAAGCCTTACACTTCTTAAGACTTAGAATTAAAGAATAGAAAAGATCCCGGAAGGCCAGGCATAGTGGTACACACCTTTAATCTCAGCACTCAGGAGGCAGAGGCAGGTGGATCTCTGTGAGCTTGAAGCCAGCCTGGTCTATATAGTGAGTTCTAGGCCAGCCAGAGCTACATAGCAAGACCCTGCCTAAAAAAGAAAAGAAAAGGCTCCTCGTGACTGAGTAATAAAAAGGGGTAAGTGGCATGCTCACATCCATCCAGTCTTCAACTCTACGTTAATGGGAACCGTCAGCAGCCGATGCTGGCTTCTTCCAATGCATGTTCCAGGATCTACGGGGACATGACCATGAAGACCCAAGCTATTCTTGCGCTTCAGTTTGCAGATGGGAAATTCTCTTTTGACTACAGCAGAAGTCAAATGTCTTTTGGTTATTCATCCCCTAGGCGTAAAAAAAAAAAAAAATGATTATAATAGCGGGAAAGCCCTGGGAAGGGAACAGTGAAGACAGTCGAGGAACTGAGAGCCTTCCCACTTCTCCGCAGAAGATTCTATGAGCAACCATTGCTGAGTGTGGTGGGAATATCCACTCTTGACTTTCGTATTTTGGCATACCCAGAGCATCTTCAGCCTTTGCTTCCTGGTCACTCTAAGACTTGTCTAGTTGCCACATAACAGTTTCTTTATTACAAGAAGGGAAGAAAAGGATCCAAGTTAATAAATAAACAAAAATGCAGGGCTGCTCTGATGAGCTAAGATAGACAGGACTTCAAGCCTAGTCTCCATCACCACCCTGCTTCAGGAACTCCTTGCAGATCCAGAGCATGGCTTCACACTCTCCAGCCTTAGTCAAGCTAAGACCCTTTTCTGCCCTGGCATCTCATGCATCATTTGGAGTCCACGTGAAAGTAAATGAGTCCTTCTTTAGATATTAAAGACTTGGATTAGTGGAAGTTGTTAGCTGATTCATGTTGGAGGTTAAGACCACGGAAAATGGTGTGTGTCCGTGTGTGTGTGTGTATGTGTGTGTGTGTGTGTGTGTGTGTGTGTATGTGTGTTAACTGCCTATGGGTGTAATCCTGTGTTCTTGCCTTTCAGGGAGAAGGGGTAGCCTACAGAGGCAGGATCTTGGTTGAACTGAGCACTTTCCTTGAAAAGAAACCACCAGAAAAGAAGCTCGAGCCCATTTCAAATGATGACCTTCTGGTTGTTGAGGTAAACGTCAGTGTGAACTTAGCATGGGATGGAAGGGATTGGAGAGTCATCTGTGGAGAAAGACCTGCTTCATGCTGTCTCTCTGATAGTGCTTTGATATATCCATGACAGCCCACTGAAGACAACCAGCCTTGCTTCAGCCACTGGGATGTTACTAGGTGTAATATTAGCTTTTGGCATTATGACCAAAATTACCAGACACAGACAACTTCAGGGCAGCAAGATTCATTTCGGCTCACTGTCTCTATGAATTTGGTCCATGTCACTGTTTTTGTAGGTTTAGTCCATGGTTGTATAGTCCCAGGCAAACAGGACAGAACAGGATCCCCGAAGGAGGGTGTGGCTGAGAAGCTTCTTCATTGTGGACAGGCAACAGAGAGAGGGAAAATAGAAAAAAGAGGCCAGGATCTCACAGTCCCTAGAGAACTGCTTCCTCCACTTTCTGCTGTCATCTACTCCTGATGATGCCATCATGCTATAAATTCAGTAAGGGATAGCACATTAATTATATCCAAGGCCTCATGACCTATTGTCTCTAGGAACACCAAGAAATATCCAGAGTCACAGCTAATCTCCTAGGTTTGCTAATCCAGGCAAGTTTGAAATCAAGACTGACTGCCACATATCTGCTGTACTTGACAAGAACAGAGTGTTCCCCCCTTTGGGTGGAGAGGTTGTGAGGAAGAGCTCCCTCCCCTGATGGCATAGGAACCAGAGCACCCAGTTTCCACTTTCACAGCAGCTGCTACACCTCAGGCTTCACAGTGCTAAGGACACACCTTCTTCCGGCTGACATTACAATGGCTCTAAGTCCCTTCCTCCTTCAAAACAGAAAGTCTCCCAAGTTCACCTCTCTGTTTCTGAGACTCTCAGGTCAATGTTCTAGGACACACAAATCTGAACGGTTTCGGAGAACAACTGACTCGCAGACACTCCTCTGGCCAGGGCCTCTCCTGGCTTGTTCTAGATCACCTGACTTGTTCTAGATCAACTTCCTTAGGCTGCTACATCTTCCATTCTGAGAACTGGAAAGGGCTTTCTCTCATTTTCCCATGTTACGGAAAAACTAAGCAGCAACTTTACAAAAGCTGTCAACTCTGAATCAAGTAAACAGTGGGATGGCTGGCATGAAGTGGCTGGTCTCAGAGCTATGAGCTCAGGGTCATAGCTGAGTCTGAGTCTCTTATTGTCAGGCTTCCTGCCCGTTTCCAGCCTGCCTTCTTACGGCTGGGCCCAGGTGATGCCTTGAGCACATCTTTATCTCAGCTTCCAAGCCTAGCTGTCATGAGCTCTCAGCTGAGCCAAGGTAGTTTTCTTCCTTGAAGTCAACTAATGTTTTCCAGCTATAAAATCTTCCCCCTTTTAGGATGACTGACAGTGAGTATCTACTTACTGTAGACGTTTTTTTCTCCCCTGACCTCATGGCCTTGTTCACTGACTTCCACTAAGACAATTAAGTCAGGCTAGTATCTGAGTCAGTACTGGTAGACTTTTCGTCATACACATTTGGAACATCTGGAGCTCAGCTGTTGAGCAGCCCCATTTCCAGTCCTTGGACTCCTTCAAGAGCAGAGGATAATGTTCCCCCACCTTCCTAAGGCTGCCTTTCTCTTCACTCCTTACTTTATCTCTCCTGGGGAGCAAGGCACAGGGCAGAACTCTACATAGGAAAAGAAGTATCCCCACCCCCCACCAAGTTAGCAAACATCATAGCCTGGGCAAAAACGCTCTCCTGGAAGTTTATGTTACCTGATAGGATGATTCAGTTTAGGTAATATAAACCGCAAACAAGACAAAACAAAAAAACATAGTAGCCTTTTTCTTTGAAACCCATCCATGAGAATTTCCAAAAAGAAGGATGTATGATCTGCCTTGAATGTAAGTTCACCTGTCTGCCTCTAGAATCCAGAACTGCTTACAGTTTTTCTACGACTGAACCAATCTCTTAAAGTAGATTTACAGGCCAGCAAAACAAGTCATTAGGAGATAACGGTTAAGAAAGTTCTAGTCCTTCTTCATCACCCTGCTCCAGACATAAACAGTTTTCTCCAGTTAACCCCGTGGCACCATTCTTGGATTTAAGTTTTGGTTACTCCTCAGTTATCCCAGTCTCTTGATGTGTAATATGGAATAGCTGTGCTAACGTGAGACTTTCAGTCAAGTGCGAGCATATGAATGTCCCCTGCGACACCTAGTCAAGCACAGGGCGTGCTCACCTGGAAGACTGAGACCTTGGGTGCATTAATCCTAACACAGGTGCGGCAGCTCTGTGCTAGGATCAGAAATTGTCCCCCATCCCTGCTTTTCAGTTACCTTGTTATAATTCCTGGGGGTGTACCAAAATGTGGTGAGGCTCCTGTGTTCTGAGGACTGCTTTTATCTCAGGGACACAGTCCTTGTCCCTTAGCATGGTCTAAGTGTTGTCACCCTAAAATTCATATGCTAAAACCCAACTTCCAAAGCAAATGGGTGGGCATTAAGGCATTTCAGTGGTGCTTAGATGGTGAAAGCACTGGCCTCATGAGGGGACATTAGCCACCTTATAAAGAATGCTCTGGAGATGTGTTTTTCTCCTACCATGTGAAGAAATATTTAGGAGATTCCTTCCCTGAATAAGAAAATGGCTTTTATTAGATACATAATCTATTGGCTTTCTAGAACTGGGAAAAATACATATTTATTATTTATTAGTTCCAGATGATGGTAGAGTATTTTTGTTATAGAAGCCCAAAAGGGCTGAGATATAAATATACCAGTTTACTAGCAAAAAGAATTAAGATTAACCAAATGCCTAGAGTGCTACACTAGTCTTGACTTTTCAAGCTAAATCCTATAGGCTAGGCTCTTCCTTTTAGGCTCTATTTGAAGAGCCTCTTTAGTGGGATGCCATGAGTCTGTGCTGTGACACAGACACAAGACAAACCCATTTTCTGCTTCTAACTAAGAAGACAGTGCTCAAAGAAATGTATCCCTCACTTCCTCCAAAAAGGTCCTGGCTAGAGTCTTTATGTCCACGTCACGACATTATTAACTCTATAAAGATTTTTCACTGCATATTGAAGTCAAATTAAGAAAAAGAAAAGAGAGGTGGGGGCTGGTGGGAAAGGGGGGCAGCCTACATGCTGTTTAGTGCAGGGCTGCGCAGGAGACTAGCTATACATGTCCTGTGGGCCTCCAAGGAAGTCCGAAGTAAGTGACTGCGGGGCGGCCCGGAGCCCGAGTTGTTATAGACTGCCACTTGGAATTAAGAATCGTGAAGAAATGCTATGATGGCTGGACCTCCAGCCATTATAATATCTCGTGGGGTTTTGTTTATCTGTTGTTTTTGCTTTTTGCTGTCATCAGGGTGCAGTTTAAATCCAGGCACTTTCTCTTCACTTTTAACAACCGTAATGAGAGAAGGGGAACAGCAGTGGGAGAGAAAGCCACTGAAGGCCAACAACCAAAGAGGCTCATTTCCTTCATTTGGTTAAAAACTGAAAGCAAAGTGAAAAACAAAGCACAAACAATATACATTGCCCACTGCATATGTCAGCGTATAAAAGAACAGCCTTTTTTAAACTGGGACATAGAACAGAATTTGCCCCATTTGTTAAAAATAATTAGACACAGATAGTGATGTAGCTTATACCAGACATTTAATTAAAACCAAATGTGAAACAAAACAGTGAACAGTTCAAAGGCAAGACAGGAGCTGAGAGTCCAAGCACATCCCTCCCTTGTGGCCATGGGAGCCACAGGAGAGAGAGATGAGCATGTCTGCTCCGTGAATCTGGTTAGCTCAGCGGAGAACTCGATTCTGGTCATCCTACAAAGGTCGTGTGTCTGGGTAGAGCTGGTGGGATCGAAATAGAAAGAGAACTTGTTTGTCAAAGAGCCAAGAGTACCCCACTGCCTAGAGCAGAGATGGCCTTGCTCCGGGTGGGCCTGGTGGGCAGATCTTACCAGGCAGGAGCAGCAGGGTCCAGCCTGGTGCTTCCATGGAAGGTTTCAGGCAGATAGAAGAAGATCAAGTGTGGTAAACACAGCATTATCCTAGCACCTACTGCCTTCTGGGGCCTACGAATGGATTTTTTAAACAAATTCTATCTATCTATCTATCTATCTATCTATCTATCTATCTATCTATCT